AGCTCCTATCCTAACCCTAACCCGTACCTCTACCCCCCACAGCTCCTATCCTAACCCTAACCCGTACCTCTACCCCCCACAGCTCCTTCTGTAGTCCCTCTACCTCTATCTCTATCTCACCACTGACTCTGATCAGTGTTTCTCCTCTGCATAGCTTATTGTCATAGTGAGGAGAAATGTAATATTGTGTCTACTCTGTAAGTCGCTTTGGATAAAAGCGTCTGCCAAATGCATAAACATAAACATAAACATAAAAACAACTAAATAAAGGCATGCCGGGGGTCCGTCCGCTGTCGGGCTGCTTGGAAAAAGTGCGCGGCGGCTCAGAATGCAGCGGGTGGGTGAGAACAGGGCCTCAGTTTTCACGGGCCCCCGCCAGCGCTCCCGCCCAGGTGCGACTCCTTCCTCCCGCCATGTTTACCTGAGACACACAAGCACAAAGACCAGTCAGTCAGCCACCTTTTTCCACTCTGCCCGGGCCCCCATCCATCACACCCTGTCACGTGACTAACAGCATCTTCTTAGCACCGCTAGGGGGGGGGGGGCGGAGACAAGAGAGGGGAGGATGCTCCCTCAGCCTCACCTGTACAGGTGAGAGGTGCACACACCTGTGTGAGGACCAAAAGGCGCCTTCCACCTCCAACCTGCCCGTTCCTATGACAACCGACGCAAAAGCCTCACGCGCCTTAGTCTAATTATGTCATTAGAGTTCGCCGCTTTTCCCCAAACTGACTGTTAGCCGTTAGCTCTTTTAGCTCGGCGCCCTGGGGAGGTTTGCGTTGGCGGGAAAAGAGGTCGAAAGTAAGACAAACTACCGGCGACGTGCCTGTAACGCCACGCAGAAGAACGGGGGGGAGGTGGGGGAGTTTTTGTGAGGCTTTAATGTAGTTTCCAAAAGTTTCCTCGCTCCTCCAAGTTGCCGTCCAACCAGCGCACCCGCCCGTGCTGGAGGTCTGGGCCCGCCCCTCGAGTTCCACATCTCTGGAATGTCGGTCTGTAACCGTGGCAACGGTAGTGTATACATAATTTCACCGCCTGCCATTGGCTACCCGGGCTGTCAATCATACGGCTACCGCTTTATGCTGATAGATAGACTAAAAAAAAAAAGTTAGCCTGAGAAATCGCGCATAAAAAGTACCAACGGTTCTCCAACGGTCGCCCGGTCCACAGGTGTCGGAACGCGGGCCAACGGTCGTCACAACGACCGGACGGTTTATTCGAAACAGACACCAAACGGGAGTTTTAACCGGCACACGGGGAGAAAACAGACGAAAAAAAACGGCAACAGCTGCCTAAAAGACGTCTGAATAGTTATGGGACACACACACAGACAAAAAAAAAGTTGGGTTGGACAATTTGGAGGTGAATGCAGGTTCTTTTTTTTTAACGTTTCAAACGAGAGGTTCCCGGCGACATGTTTGAAAAAAACGACTTACGTGTCGGTGTCCGGCGGGGATGCTGGCCGGGCGGAGTCCATAGCTGAGTCGCCAGGGCCGGTTAGGTAAACTCAGGGGCGATGGGTAAACAAAAGAAAAGACCGCACCATCTGGCGAAGTGGCCTGAGAGGAGGAGGAGGACTGGGGGAGAGGAGGAGTGTTCAGAGGAGGAAGTGCTAAAGGGGGTCTTCTCCCGGAGGAAATGCGGATTTTTTGAGCTTTCAGCCCACCAACACCACACATCCAGGTCATAGATTAGTGATAGACACTTTTCTGATCAAAAGTGAGAACCGGGCTGCAGCTGGATGTTTTCTGAGTGTTCCTGGACCAGTTGAAAAGCCTTTAAAGCCCCAAACACCTGTGGATTTTGCCTTAAATTACAGCAAAACCTCTCTAAAAGAGAAACAAATCAGACATTTCTGCTCCGCTCAGTGTAAATCCCACACCGGCCTCTATGGAAAGCCGTAAAGTTCAGCACAGTTGCTTTATTCACGTGCCATCCTGACTTCAGGGCCTTATTGGCCATATGGCAGCTGCCTGCTTACTGATCCTCTTAATGCCTTTTAATCAAACCAGCCGTCCTAATGGGAGCTGTAAAACCAGCATCCTCTCCGGCTCCGTGCTCCATAAAAGGCGGTTATGGCCTGGTTGAGTAAAGAAACCGGTTCAGACTGTGATTTAGCTCGGTTTGACCCCCGTCGGCCCCTCCCGATAAAACTGGAGTCAGCCTGTACTGACTTTATCCAGTTTGCCACCATAGCTGCCAAGATCCATTTTCAGCTTTAGATCGTTTATTTCTACTCAGCACATGCAGTTATTGGTCCGTTTGGAATAAACAATATAACCAGAAATTGCTTGTGTCTTTACAGGCTGTGCAAAGAGAAGGATATTAAAAGCTTTATTTAAAGATAAAGTCTAATTAACAAGGAATAACCTCCAGGGAGGATAATTAAAGACCGATTTACACCCTAAATGTATATACCCGAAAGTGAACAAACATGCTGATAACCAAAAATCCTTCAATCATCAAGTGTGAACTCTCAGCTTTTTCATCTGACCAAAAGAAAAAAAAAAGCTTAAAAGGGAAGTGTGTTAAATCTGTTGAACAAGACCCTCTGTCCCCTCTAATAAAAGCACAAAAGATTTGTGGGTAATCTCATTACCCCCTGCCGGGCGTCTCGGCCTGTGTAGAGCTCAAGAATCTATCCTCCATCTAATCATGAAACACTAAACATCAGAGTATAAAATGATGGAAAATGACGGGAAACAGGACTCGGTTAGGCTTCTTTAATCTGCTTCTGTGAGGCCTGGCGTAGGACTTTACACAACAGGACTCCTCCATTAGGCCGGTACATGATTCAAACGGGACCGGCAACAGACAAGCATTTTACAAAGTGCAGGACTCGCCAACAAAGCGCCTAAACATCAACAAGGAGGCAACTTCAAGTTGTTTTGTGTTTTTTTTGTGTTAGTGACGTCTTCAGTTAATAGTCCGCACAAAGACGACGTCGTACGTTTACGATCCTAAACGGAGACAAAAGCAGATTTAAAGCTGAACAGAAACAGAAAACTCCTCGTTGGGTTGATTTGTCGAAGCTACTGTTGGTTGCTCTAAGGTCACATGGCTCCCTTTGGGTTGCGTCTCATCCCCCTCCACACGACAGTCATGGCAACGGTAACTATGGAGATACACTGGCAAACACAACGCGAGAAAACAGGAGTGATGCTAAGCATGCTGTTAAGCTCTCAGTGTACAGGACAGGTGTGTTCAGGCGTTTCTAAGGCAGAGACTCAGTCTTTAATCCAACTCTCAAAGCTTAAAGCTTAAAGCTCAAAGCGTTCCCCCACTTTTCTCTTGGTTTTTTGTGTGTATTTGTGTAGAGAAGACAGAAAATGGCATCACATTATCCCACATTATGTCCAGGTTCCTGTACACGGGTCTCATTTCATCATCATGCACCATGGCTTTCAAATTACTGTACATTTATTTGTTGTTTTTTTTTTTTTTTTTACAAGATTCAAAAGGGAGCTCCATCTAACTGCGAATCACTTCCAGTCTTAATATTACAACAATAATAATAATATAGTCACATCTGAACGTCCTGAGAATAAAAAGTACGAGAAACACAGGTGGAATCATTCAGGTGCACGTAGAGAGAAAAAAAACAGAAAAAGTTGTACGCAGTTTCATAAAACCAGAAGAGGAAACGAGTCCCTCTGCTACTGAATAAAAGAAGAAAGACATCAATGAAGTTTGGTTTTTTAGTTTCTCCTGTTCAGGCGTCGTTTCCGTGAAATGAAGAATAAATTTGGAAATGTGGCAGAAAGTTTTTTTTTGTTTCTAAACATCCAGAACGGCTTCAGGAGGCTGAGACGGATTTCCCCGTCTGCTGTGAGAAAAGCAACACAAACCATCTGAAAAGGAAAATATTATGGCTGTACGTCGTCATATACACATAAAATATCTGGATTTCTCTCTTGTGGGCTCCAGTGACCACGCGTTACTTAAATATATTCCAGTTCTGACAACGCTGAGCCCGTTTAGACGTGAAGCACTAACCAAACGCACTTAAAAATAGATGCATTCAACATTAAATATAGTAAATACTCTCTCTATTGTACTTTTACTGACGCCACAATACTGGAGAAGAGCTCTCACAGGAAAACAAACTAATCCAAATCTGGGTTTTACTTAGATTATCTTTATAGGTCCTGTTTTTGTTTCGTTTTTTTGTCAAAAAGGTGCTGTTGTGTGTCGGGTTGGGGTCTTCCTTCATCCATAGGAGCCTCAACCCCCCCCTTCCAGGAATGGACTCATTCCTGGTTTTACTCCATTGATGGGCGTTGGGGGGGTTTAGTTCAATAGTGTGACTCTTCTCTTTTTGGTGGAGAGAGGGGGGTGAGGGTTGAAGGCTACAGTATCTTTACCATAACGCGTTCTTTTTCTACCAAAACTCTCTCATTGGCTGGTCTCATTCCTGGTTTTCCTCCATTGGATTGAATTCTCCACTGGGGGGTTCAGTTCAGTAGTGTGACTCTTCTCTTTTTGGTGGACAGTATCTTTACTATAACGCGTTCTTTTTCTACCAGAACTCTCTCGTTGGCTGGTCTCTGGACCTGGACCCTGGGGGTCTCAGAGGGAGGTGGGGGGGGGCTGTGGGAGGTGGGGGGGTCCTCAGAGGGAGGTGTCCCGGTGGATGGACTGCAGGCAGCCCAGCAGGCGGAGGTAGGGGCTCCCCGGGGCCCCCACCGTCTCGAACACGGACTGGAAGGCGCGGCGGTCCAGCTCCTCGTCGATCTGGTGGCGGTAGAAGTCCATGGCCACCAGGCAGAACAAACCCACGTCCACCGCCTCGCCCAGGCCCACCCGGCTCACCACGTGGGGCAGTCTGGGTAACCAGATAAGGACCAAAAACCACAGAGTCTGATGCTAAATGAGGTCTGGATTTAAGGTAAAACCCCCCTCAGAGAGGAGGAGCTTTAGGGACAGTTTATCTCTCAACAACATCAATGTATGATAGGTGGAACAGCATTTTCCTATTAAAAAATGTTGGTTTTCAAGATATTATGATGATGGAACTGTCTTCTACTTTAGTAGTACTAACATTTTATTTATTTATTTTTACGTGGGGCAGCCTGGACCCCCGGTTAAGGACCAAAAACCACAGAGTCCGACGCTAAACCAGGCCTGGATTTAACCAAAACCCCACCTCAGAGAGGAGGAGTTTTAGGGACACAGTTTATCTCTCAACAACGATTTAGAATAGGTGGAACAGCATTTTCCTATTAAAAAAGTTCCATCATCATAATATCTTGAAAAAAGACATTTTTTAATAGGAAAATGCTGCTCGTATGATAGGTGGAGCAGCATTTTCCCATTAAAAAAGTTCCATCATAATATCTTGAAAACCGACATTTTTTAATAGGAAAATGCTGCTCCTATTATCATACGAGCAGCATTTTCCTATTAAAATTTTTTATTTTTTCAAGATATTATGATGATGATGGAACTGTCTACTGCAAGAATCCATTATTTATTCATTATTAATCCACCCATTATTTTATTTTATTTAATTTCTGACCTAATGGGTCATGTGATTTGTACCTAAGGTTGGGTTGGGGTGGGTGGGTATTGATCACTGACTTTGTAATGCTCATGTTTCCCAGCTTGGGAATTTGTTCTTAAATAAATAAAAAAAAGTGCAGCAGCATTTTATTTATTTATTTTTACGTGGGGCAGCCTGGACAGCCGGTTTAGGACCACAAGCCACAGAGTCTGACGCAAAACGAGGCCTGGATTTAACCAAAACCCCACCTCAGAGAGGAGGAGTTTTAGGGACACAGTTTATCTCAGAAAAACAACAATTTACAATAGGTGGAGCAGCATTTTCCTATTAAAAAAGTTCCATCATCATAATATCTTGAAAACACATATATATATATATATATATATATATATATATATATATAT